AGAAATTGTAAACACAGAGGAATGCGATTGGCATTCCTGAATCATAGGGTAAAAAAAGAAAAAAAAGACATTATATAATTTTTATAATTAGAACTTTATATTTACAATACACAAATAGCTGTGACGTATCAAAAGGTCGTTGAGCAAAGAATTAGTAGTTCATAAAGACAATCGGACGAGCCGTGCAACCACAAAAGAAACTTAATCTCACCCAGCGATGCACATTTTTTATAATATATAAAAAAAAGTCTCGTTTCATAAAAGTCATTGTGGCTATCCTCGACAGTTCATTTTTGAACGCGTTTCAAAACAAAACGCTTTAAAATAAATAAAATCAGTGTATAATTATCCTGAAAATCTCTGCGCTGCATGGTCGTAACAGCAGTTGGAGCGAAGAGAAACGAACTGGAAGAAAGTAGCCCCTGCGACAATAAAGATATATAACCATGCTCTGAAGGAGACACTGTGATTGGAAAGTAGCCGTCCGAATAACAAATCCATAAATTTTGGCGGAATTTTCGAGGCTGAAGACATACTTCATAAATGCACACTAAGATAAATAAGAAAAGCAATTTGAAATTCGTATTCACTGTTAATTACCACCTAGGTGACTGAACGTAAATATATGCAGACTACTTCAGACGAAGTTTATGCAAAAGGAGAACATTGGCTGGAAGCGGAATGACTTGAAAAGCTAGACCTGTAGTAAAATTGACGTTTGGACCGCTCTATGTGGACGTAATTGGGCAAATAAATGTTGTGATGCATTGAACGCCTTTTAATATCACTGTTCATCACAAATATTTTGCATAATGAGCGCTCATTGAAACTGATTTGGTTCAGGCACAAAGCACGAAAGTAATCAATAGATCCTTTTAAACGGCTCTGTAGAATTATGTGAATGAGGGAGCTCAAAACAGAGAGAATAGGGAAAGTTGCTAGCTGCATCAATGGCGAGAAGAAAAGCGACGATGAAACAACAACTGGTCGGAGTGTCGAAGTGTTGTGGGCAGTTCAAGTCTGCTTGACTTTGTAAAATGGTATTGTATCATGGCGCTTACTGATCGTATCGAGTGATGGTGCCGCAATGCACGAGGGCTGTTAAGTTCGTCAGAGAAATTATCGACAGCTCATGTAGACTGTAAAACCCTGGCCTACACCAGCCGAAGAATTCAGTGATTTTCGCGAACTTCGTATCACTTGTAACGTATTTGTTGTTGCTAATAAACCGTCATATTCTTCATATGTGTTCCAACACACAGCACAAAGTATCTCGAAACAAACGCGTGTATGCATTTTTTTGAGGTAAATTGCTGCGGATGCAGCACAGACAAGACTTTCTTAAAATGGTCCTGTGGACTTATATCTTTCTTCTTACTTCGCTTTTTCTTCGTTTTCTTCTCTTTTTCATCTTTTCTACTTCATTATTTTCTCTTTACCCTTTAATAAAAACTATCAGATTGAAACGATACATCCAGAAATGGCAAAAAAGAATTTTCAGCCTCCTTTGTTGAAAATTGCCTCATTTCCATGCTTCTCTTCCCAGTAGCAGCTTTATTCAGTCAGTAATAGTTTATGCAGTTATGGAAAATTATTACCTATATCTTAACACTATGATTCTCTTCTTTGGTTTTTTTAAGTACCAACACGGAGTGATGTTTGGAAGAAGTAGACCATTGTGTAATATTGTTTTCCTGCGCATTCGAGAAAGATATTTTTGATTTTGTTTTGAAAGAGATTTGAAATCAATTATGGTCGGGATGATCGGTTTTCCATGGATTCTGGGTGGCTTCGGATAATTTTTCTGGATAAATCCTGGTATTTTCCTTAACGGTGGACAAATTATCTCATTTCTAGTCCTGTTCGCGAGTTTACAGTGCACATCCCGTGTGTTACCATCGCAATGCTCAGCTGAAGGATTACTTACGATCCTGAAAGGCATAGATCGTCTGTTCTTTTTAAGGTCATGACCTAAAAATTGCACAAACTTCGCCCTTTGTTACCAAACAAATGTTTGTCAGATGGCCTAAATTTTTATTAAACGTTTTTGCGCAGTTCTACTAATTTGACCTTTCAAACTGAATTCTGTGAAAAGTCCTATTTCCCTTATCCAGATATTTTTCTAATTTTGTCTCTAGAATTTTTTCTAAAAGAAGGAACTGCTTTAAAAATACTTAGCTAACGCATTTCCAACAATTTTTTGCAGAAGATTTTCGAAAACATTTTTTACTGAGTTTAGCAATTATCACTTGCTCTGATCAGCTCATTGTCATATTTCTTCTCGTCATTGATGCAGCTGGAAACTTTCCATTCTTCCGTAGTTCATGCTTCTCTCATCCACGTAATCCCGTAAAACCTTTCGAACACACCAATAATTCTAGCTTACAGATAATATATCATTCTAGCTTACAGATAATATGTCATTCTAGCTTATATCACTATTTTTTGAAGAAACAAAGTTTTTCGCAGGTTTCTTCAAGATGACGAAGGAAAATCACAAGATTCTCCTTCACAAGAAAAAAGCCTTTTGAAAGTAACAGTTTTTTCCTTCTTTTCTTATTTGAGCTGGATCAATCATAGCCTTTGATATCTTAGCCTTTGGTTCAATCTTAGCCTTCGATAAAATTCCGGATTTTCCCAATTTGCTTATTTTAGAAATGAAAGAGTCAGATTCACAACTGATCGAGAATTCACCCAAATTATCGGTGAGCGCCAAATTAGCACTCATTTCGGGAGCCATTTCGCTAGCATGTATCATTGTAATGGCAACTGTATTACCGATGATGTATATAAAGCTAGAAAAAGCATCGGCGCAAACGCATCAGCGCCTCAAAAATTTCCAAGTAAGCTGTTTCGGCAGCATATGTAATTGGAAGAAAAGTGGAAAAATCGATGAAAGTGATTTTTCAAAAAGCATTTGTTTTTTTCTCGGACGAAATTAACATTTTTGGTTTTTTTTACAATTTGTGTTTCTACCTTCTGGAAAATTCCGGGGTCTGATCGTTATATGGAAGGTAACAACGGGCCGGCCGGTTTCCGAGGCATGGCCGAGCTGATAGCTCAAAATTTTAAAAACACACACTACCGAAATTTTGTGTGGCTTAGCTTGGATTATTTCAACATAGCTTCAAGAATGCAATAAATGCTTTTTCAGGCAACATCCAGGGGACTTTGGGGTGATATAGCATTAATTCGAAGCAGTGGACGAATCAGACGGCAAGGTCGGTTTGCCTAATGAACAAGCTTTGTTCTTAAAACTTTTCTGTCTGAAATTTTAAAATTTTAAAATGAAATGGTAAAAACAGCGCCGAAAAGCAGTTAGTACCAGTAAATCGGACGATTTATTAAAGATACGTTTATCCAGAATCTGCAGCAGGTGGTCAGTTTTTGCTAAAATTTTACACTGTAACTTTTTCAACCTTAAATGCTTGGATGGACATTTGCACATGTACATGTGCATAATTGGACAAAGCCATCACAAACTTGACTGAAGTGCTGTTTTTCTGTTCAGATACCATGTCAAATCTGATCTGAATAAGTAAATACGGCTAAGTCACGATTTTTACCGACGTGGAACTACACATCACGCAAAACCTTTCCAGTCTACTTTATTGAGAGTTGACTATGATAGTTTGTTGCCTACAAATCACCTCCCGCACCTTGAAATTTTTTTTTTTCAAATTCAAGCAAATTCAGTAAAAAACGCTGATAAAGATCCCCCATCAGCTTAACTGGAAGTCTAATTAACTCTAAAAGGATAGGTGGTTGTGGACTATCAGGGGCAATCGGCGAAAACGGGATGACCCGAGCATTAAAGTGTGCTACTTTATAAACAATTTTAATTTTTCCTTGTTCGCAGTATGCTACAAAACCTTTACGCGCAGGTTGTATGCGACTTAATGGACCGAAAGATTTTTTACCATTAAAATAATTTTATTAAATTGCAAATTCTGTAATTCTCATCTCTTGCCCTTCTTTCTATTCACTTCCTTTCATCCGTTTTTAATATACCTTTTTATTAGTATCGTATAAATCAGAAGTGTAAAATCACTAGAAATTACTTTTAAGCTTATATTCGGTGACAAAGAGTGGAAGCATTTTAGGTTATGGTAATGGCGGGCCGACATCGATGATGAGTCTCGAAGAAACAGGACAGTGCACCAGCTGTGTCCAATTACAGTGCCCACCGGGATCACCGGGTCCACCAGGAGTGGACGGTGAACCTGGAGCGAATGGTGAACCTGGTCGACCAGGAAAGCCCGGTCTGGACGGACTCGATATACCTCTTGATCCAGAGCCAAGCTCTCCTTGGTAAGCCCATTCATTACTTTTTTAAACACACAAGAATTAGAGTCGTTTCTTAAGATCGAAAATGAGTGAGAAACTTTGATTGAACAGCTCTGAAAGCGACTATCGGAAGGATTTCAAAGAAAATTTCCAACGGATTGGATGATGAAGGAAAAATAAATAGCTGGTAAGATCACGAGTTTGCACAGTTCCGGCCAGCAAAACTAAAATAATTCCACGGATGCGCAAGTAGACCTAGACGCAATGTGAAAGCTAGGTCTGAATTTTGTCGTGCTTGAACATGAAGCATCGTAAAACTTCAACTTCCAATCTTTGGTCCATGAATCAGAAAATTTCCGCCAAAACTTCATGTATCCGTGCTTGAGAACCAGACATACGTAAATTTTGGAGCTGCACATGAGCAGGGAGCACTCTTGTGAAATTTCAGCTTTCTAGCTTTTCTGGTTGCTGAGTTAAAAAAAACCCAGACAAAAATAATTGGAGCTCTCCTGGTCCCTCCCACTGCACCATCCACAAAATTTTAGCATAGCGCTTCATTTTTGGAGACATATTTTGCAGATTAATATGCACTGAATTCTTTTGCAGTGTGATTTGTCCAGCAGGGCCACCAGGCAATCGTGGGCCACAAGGAGAACCTGGACGATCAGGAGTACCCGGTGAACCAGGTCGACCTGGCTTGCCTGGAAGGCCCGGTAAAGCTGGTAGAGTAGGTGATCCTGGGCCACCGGGAACACCCGGCGAGCCCGGTGAGCCGGGCATCAAGGTACGTTTTGAGCAAAAAAATTTCATTAAAGACATCGAATGCTTTGTATGTGTGGGCGGTGGATGGCGCGAGAGACGAAGCACTATTATTTCGCACTTTTTCAAAAGTTCGACTCCGTAAGTGCACAGGCAATCCCTGTATGATTCGTTTAGTTATTTTAAATTGGTACTAGCATATGCCAAGGAGAAAAGCTCTCCATCAGCTTGTTTGAAAGCAATTTTCGAAAGAGACAGCCATTGATAACTCGGCCAGCGAGTGGTTGCTGTTGGCATTTGCTACCAGTCGAAATAAGTTCAAAGCGCCTCTGCCTTCCACAGACAGCGAATACGAAATGGGTTTCAATTTTTGACTGATAGTTAAGAGAAGCGTAGCCTCCGAATGAAATCGTTTTATTTATGAAAGGAGTAAGCATGAAATTTGCTAAGTACTCGACCCTCGAAAGAAAATTGTGATGACAGTGCCAATAGGTGGTTTAGGAGACTTCAAGAAGAAAGGCACGAATACTGATAAAACTGCGGCATAATCGATTTATTATTTAAAGTTTAAAACTCACATGGTTTTCACTCATACCTTTTGAACCTCGATTTTTGTTCTTCTAGGCTTATCATCATCCTCGAATTAAAATCATATCGATAACTTGCAGGGTCCACCCGGAGACGATGCAATTGGTGGAACAGGTATCAAAGGCCCTCCTGGTCCACCGGGTCCTCGTGGACCCAAAGGGGCTCCTGGTCCAAACGGAATACCGTCAAGCAATTATGGCCCTCAAGGACCACCGGGAGAAATGGTTTGTTGGACTATCGTTGTTTTGAAGGAAAAATTCGAAACTTGCTAATATAGTTCTTGGCGGCACCTGCTTCCCTAATGGTCTTTCTGCCGTGTCCCAGCCATAGTGTGATGTTTCCTAGCTGAAATGGTAGTTTCGTTTGCAGACGCAATTTTCTCAAAATTTTTTTTTAAATTACTGTCTCACTATAATGCTTCACTCCAACTTTTACTCTTTTCCACGCTTTCATAACTGATCAATTTTTTACAAGAATATAATGTCTTGGTGGAATTGCAGGGGCCTCCTGGGCCACCAGGCAAACGAGGTGAGTCCGGACCACACGGGCCAATTGGACCACCCGGAGAACCAGGCGAAGCCGGTGGTCATTGCCACACCTCGTGCGGTATCCAGGAAATCGTTGCTCCGTCAGTTGTCGAACTTGATACCGGCGGTGGCCAATACAAGTGACGATAAGAATAGTGATATCAGTAACAGAAATTATGATTTGTTGATAGTGGTCGTATTATGATTCAGTCATTATGAACAGTTTTTCTTTGTATCAAGTGACCAGCACGTGATGAGATTTGTCAAGGACTTTTCTCGGACTCTTCCAGAAAAGTTTCAGAATCAAACTCTGAGCATATGAAATTCCAAATTCATATGAGCTAAACAATGAATTTTTTTATCAGAATCCTAATACTACCAAGATTTGACTTCAATTTCTAACAAATGTGGCAACTTTCAACAAATTTTTAACAGATTTCAAATCAGAACAACAATGTGTTGGATGATGCAGCAAATTCGGATCCTCGTAATTCAAGTTGCGGGTGGTTGGGGCGCAGATGCGTCTGGTTCCTCATCATCCACTTCATCGTCTTCGCCCTCGGAATGCTCCGACGCTACATCTTCACCTTCCGGGTCGACATCATCATCACTAGCAGCTCCACCCTGCGCTATTTCTTTGATCGGAGGAAAAAACTGAGCGCCAAATCGCCCAAGCTAAAAACATTTTGCAGGCTAAAGCGATTTACAGCAGAAAAAAGATTATTGGTAGATATAGGTAAACAGGTAAACAAAAGTGAAAAGAGCACATATATAGAATATAAGAAAATACAACTATAAAATATTTATAGTTTATGCTAACATTACACTTACCGCGTATTAAGATGCGTGCACCTTATCAGAGTTAGAAATAAAAAGGAAAAAAGGGAAAACGAAGTCCCGTCCAAAAAGTGGTCATTCCAAATAAGAATGTCAGGGTTGTGGTGGGCGAGGGGTGGACCTTGCCATTAGCTAAATGGGATTTGGCTTTCTTTTTTGCCTCGATTTATCGCACAAATAATTTGAGAATGGGCTGAAAAGTTCTGTTGTTGGATAACTTATTAAGATTTTATTTTTAATTCTTTATGCTACAAATACGTAATAGTGCACAAAAATTGTGTAAATTGCAGAATTTCCGAAAAAGTGATTTTATCTAGTCGACTAAATTATGACCCTTTTAGATTCTGTGGTTTCTTTTTTTGACTCCTAAGTACTACAGAGTAAGCAAATTGTGGCAGGCTTTTTTAAAATTTTTTTTGTCTTTTGCAGGATTTTTTCATGCTATTCAAGTCATGGATTTGTTTTGATTTTAACTTGCTGCTTGAAAAATTTTGAGAAATGTGGCAACAGGGCTTTATGATATCCACACTCCCTTCCTCATTCTCATTATTTGGGCAATTCACGAAGATGTGGCTTAAATACGCCAAAGATACCGCAGGTACTATCCGAAAACATGCAGCTCAGAGTCGAAGGACCTAACATAACCGCGCCCAAAATGGAAGTGCATTATAGTAGAATCACTGTTGCCATATTTTTAACATTCGTTTTATGAAAATATATCCCATACCCATGTTGACTTTCCGAGTGGTTTTGGTATTGGTATAAATGCAAAAAAGTTAAAATATTGTAAAATTCAAAAAGTCAAAATTAACATTCGTTTTATGAAAATTGAAGATTCCCTGCGCACCCATATTTTCTCAGTGGCCATTCGTGATTGAGTGATGCGTATTTTCTAAATTTTTACAATTTGAACTGAAAATGAGATTTTAAAATTGTAAGTACCCTGAATTGAGCGCCAATCATAGCCATTCTAGACTCTGCAGCTACATTCACTTCCTTGGCCCGAGCTTGCTGTGCTTTTTTTCTCTCACGGACACTTAGCGGCTTCTCTTCTGAAGAAAAAAATGCCAATCCCAGCAAAAAATAACAACGTGCACATTTATTTAACCACTTTTTGTCGCTTGCATTGCTCTTATACGATTCAAGTAAATCATTACATAGATGAAGCTGAGATTTTTCAAAAAACTAGTGATTGGTTCTTTTAAATTGGGCAATTTTGGCAGTTTTTACTGAAAATTGGAATTGGAGGTTGGTTTTATAAAAACTGAGATTTTTTCAACCCGGTTTTTTAGAAAATCACAATTTAGTCACCAAATTTAGATCCTAATAATTAGATTTATAAAAGACGTGCACCTCAGGATTGCAGCTGTGCCTGGCTTTTCGTTCCTGAACTTCTCATCTAGTAACAGCAGTAAAATGGGGTCCTCACCCTGAATGATTTGGCATTCTTGGGATTTGTGGTATGAGTCGAAAATGCAAAAATTTGATGGAAAAAAAACCTTTTGGTTTTCTGCGTAAGTTCAAAAAACACACTTGCAAAAATACTAAATTTAGAGGGAGAAAATTTGCTCATAAGTCATCCAGATGAGGTGCTGAGCCAAGTTCCCGGGAAAGGCCGCGACACTGCTTGTTTGTTATTTGTCTGGTATGATTGGGAATCGCTTAAAATCATGCGCAGTTTCAGCTGCTACGTTTAATTTAAGCTCAAAAATGCTGTAATTTCTATCAAAATTGCCGAAAACTCCCGAACAATTAGTGCGGGTATCTCATGTTAGTGATGTTGCTGGGACGCTCCCAGACACTGGATGCAGCTATGCCAGGTCCTTCGACCCGTGTCTCTTTACAGCTAGTAGGGGTGCTATTGGTTCCGTACCCAGTCAGTCGTGAAATCACTAATGACTTGCATCCATCCATGCTATGACCAATATAATAGTTTTCGTTTGTTCAAAATCGAAATTCCCTGCTAGCTGCTGAAGGAAACAGAGAAACACCGTAAAAGTTGTCTGAATTTTTAAACCTTAGGACCGATTTTCGAATACGAAATTGACTCACCCTGCTCTTCCTCCTCCTCCTCCTCCTGTTCCTTCTTACTCACTTCCTTCACCACTGATTCCTCCTTTTTTGCCACTTTTTCCTCCGCCCTCTCTTCCTTCTTGCTCACTTCCTTCACCACCGATTCCTCCTTTTTCACCACTTTTTCCTCCGCCCTCCCTTCCTTTTTGCTCAATTCTTTCACCACCGATTTCTCCTTTTTTGCCTGTTTTTCCTCCTCCTCCTTCCTCTTCCTCTCCTCTTCCGCTTTTTTCGCCTCCGCTTCCTCCTTTTTTGCCTGTTTTTCCTCCTCCTCCTTCCTCTTCCTCTCCTCTTCTTCCGCTTTCTTCGCCTCCGCCTCCTCCTTTTTCGCCCGTTTTTCCTCCTCCTCCTCCCTCTTTCTCTCTTCTTTTTCCGCTTTTTTTGCCTCTGCCTCCTCCCTTTTCGCCCGTCTTTCCTCCTCCTTCTCCCTCTTCCTCTCTTCTCTTTCCGCTTTTTTCGCCTCCGCTTCCTCCTTTTTCGCCCGTCTTTCCTCCTCCTTCTCCCTTTTCTTCTCTTCCCTGGCCTCCCTTTTCGCTTCCGCTTCCTCTTTTTTCGCCGCTTTTTCCTGCGCCTTTTTGTCTTCCTCTACTTCCTCCTCCTCTTCATATTCTTCCTCTTGCTGCTGTGCTTTTCCGACCACTTTCTCGCCTCTATCTATAAGGCAAATTATTATATTTTTTCAGCATATTATCAGTTATGCTTTTTGTGAATACTTTATGAGCGTTTATAGAGGACATCATTGGACCTCTGCTTCTGAAAGAATGGTACTCGCAAAAAAAAACGTCTTTTCTAAATTCGAATTTAGCCGTAGGACTGGGCAGGGAAACTGATGACGGAC